GGTTGATCAAAGCGAGCGCCGGGGACGCCGCTCAAAGGGAAAGAGGGACTATGTAATGCGTTGGTTACTTAATTCTAGGTTTTGGTGAGGGGGCCACTTAGGGCCATTAATCTTTTACTTTAATTGGGTAGGCTGGCCTTCGGGCCATGCCAGGAGCCCCAAGCCCAACTGGCTGTCGAAAATACATACTCTGGCTAAGAACTATGTCACCTTTCGTTTTCGAGGAAGTCTTTGGGCGCCACACACGGCACACATGCATTCAAACGCTTCAGAAAGTTAAAATGGATAACTAACAACTGATAATTCTGTTTGAATAATGACAATAAGTTTTGCTATTCAAATCCATATTCTTAGTATTGAAAATCGACTTCTCCCGAATTAGGAGACTCTTTTAAAAACTTTATAAGCCCTATGTTGGGAACAATCCGTTAAAAGTAAGTAAATTATGTAAAGCACTTTTTAATCAAAGTATTATTTATTTGTTCTAAGAGGCTTTTTCGCTTAAAACCGCAGTTTCCGACAAAGAGGTCGAAAAATGAACCGGATTCATGCCTCATTGGTGATTGAGTGAAATAGACAAGGGCACTGACGATTTTAACTAAAATATAAAAAAGAACTTCCATCCGATTGAAACAACCTTTCAGCGCTTGCTCCAACCTCAGAGTTGCTAAAATTTAGGATTGATCTAACTGCATTATAGCGTTTTAGTAACAAAACCTAAAAACTACTAACATCAGATTAATATCACACATGGAACCTACATTCACCGTTTTCCGTATTACCCATGAAATAAAAAATGACCGGCAATCTGTTTCTTGTATTATTCGCATGAGAAGTCGACATTGGAGAAAGACGGGTAGCACTATTATAGGAAAGGTTGTACAGTGATAAACAGCTAGCACTGCCCCCAACCTAAAATGCCCACGAAACCAGCTTCATCGGAGGCCACTTTATTTTAAAAAGAAAATTGTACTACTCAAAATTTTGTGTTTTAACAATACTATCACGCCATCCGAGTTGTACGGTGGCGCCTTCTCCATACACTGCTTGTATTTCTTGAAAGCTTAAAAATATCCCTTACTTTAAAGATGTTGGGGATAGCGTTAAAAATGTCGAGTTTGGGCCCGTTTTAAATACATGCTCCAGAATATTCATTATATATTATATTTATGCCCATAAGTAGATGGTGATGCGAGTTACTTTTTTTTTCTAGCTCAAGGAGGGGTGAGGTATTTAATCTAACTTCCTCTAATATACCTATTTAAGTTATCAAAAATACTCAGCATTAGTTGTGCAACATATATTTGTTTGACTCAACCTTTTGGGGGCCAGAGTGGTGATTTGATATGTGCCTCCTGTCGGTTAGGACGTCGTCGGCCCTCGAGGATGAGGAAACGTGCTCTAAACGTGCCTAAATGGTGATATCTGTACCCCCCAGTTTTTTTATTCCTACCCAATAAAGCGTGCCCTTGTCCAACTCATCCGCTCCTTTCATGGGTATGAAGGCGGAGGTGGAAGCGAGAAACACTGAGCCCATTATACTTATACAAAGTGCATATTCTATTTATCACTTTGGATGCAACATAATATTTATAAATAAACTTAATAAATGGAGGGCTTGGTGAGTCTTGTGGGCTCTATTTGCATGGGATTAAATTTCTTATCGCAACTTACCGGTCTCATTATGTTTTACTTTGATTTGGCAAGCAGTTTGGTAAACAGTGTTTATTGTGTTGAATTAGTCAATTTTTACATTCTTCAAGTTTTTTAAGCTGAAAAATAGGCTCATGTTGTTCCGCTTCTTGAGCAGACAGCAGTAGCAAGAAAAGCGCCCCCTGAATAAATTTAGCCTTTCTCATACTTCCCAACTGTCTTTTAAAGCAACATGCAGTCTTGTTTAACTTTATGTTGCTATTTTTCTGCTTAAAAAAACCAGCACAAGCTTGGCAAAAATATAAGTGAGAACTCTCACATCTGGGGAATGGAGTTTTCTTAGCTCAAGGAAATGACTTAACCTGTTTTTTACAGGAGTTTCAAGTGAGCAAATCTTTTGTGCTTTGGTGCATGAAAGACGACTAGCATGCACAGCTAAACCAAACATGTCCAGTGCTCTTGTTTCCTCAATTTGTCTTAAGTCGTGAAAATGGTATTCATGCATTCACAGAAAATAATCCTATAGCACAGCCATGGTGAGACTTCATCACAAGGGGAAAAGCGACAATAGCATTTTAAATATAAAATAAATCAGGTTGAAAGGTGTGCTAAAAAACTAACATGATATTATTTTTGTTGAAAAGCTGCCCACTTTAATTGCACTTTTCTACAAATCAGTCCTGAAGTATGATTTCCAACAAAATTTAGACAATGCTCTTGATTATTCAAAGAAAGATGAAATGCTTCACAGGTTGTTTGTGTAATATATATTTGTTGGAATGTACCTTTGAGGCAAGAGGCGGTCATTTACCTCGAACCTCTTGACGAAGTGGGCTCCATCTGTCCCCATGGACAAAACGCACCTTAAGCATGCTTAAGCCGCGATATCTATGCTCCCTCACTTATTTCTTGCTACCCCATATTGCATGTCCTCGTCCAACTCGTTTGTCCGTCCCAAGGGTATGAAGGTAGAGGTGGAGGAGAGAAACACCGAGCTTACTGCGGATGGAACCAATATTTGTTTTTGATTAGAATAACTAAATCAGATGCCTAAGGAATGGTTTCAAGTTTGCGTTTTTCTGAAGTGCTTTGGGATACTCCTCCAACTAGTGTAACATGGAGCCAATTTAAGTCCAGGTGTTGCATACTGGTCTATAAAATTGTCATCTATTACGCAATGAATTAGTGTCCACATAAAACTGCGCGTCTCGAGTGTATTTTGAGAGCGCGTGCTTTGATAAATGAAAATGGAACTTTAAAAGGTTTCTGACGCCTTGTTTTTCAATTAAGGCAATTTTAGGAAAAGAGTGCAAACACAAATTGGAGGCGATTAACATCACCAAGGTTAAACTTTCGACAAATTGAAGGAGACTTTTGGCTCGTGGATTTCTGTGTTACTCAAACGATTAGCAGCTTGTATTTCACCCGTGAAAGGGAAATAATAAGATCTCCTGCTGTGGGCAAGAAAGAGTGCGTTGAACCAATTGAAGTAAAATTCGTGTTTTGGATTGTGGCTTTTAGACGAGGAAGTTGGCAAAGATGGTTTCTGTCAATTCTTACAGCCTCATAAGCTGTGTTTTCGTTGTAAAATTGGTTGAGAATATTCACTTGAACAAGTCAACCTACGCAAACCAGAAGGGAAATCGCCAGTTCGTTTTGCCCGGTATTTACCACCCGGTACTTTATTTCCGCCAAATTTAGAACCGCTTAGGTGAAGCTTTACATTCGAAAACACTTTCCTAGTAGGATATTGCGAAGTGATTAGAAATGATATTAATAAGCAGAACAATATTACGCCCAAGTGAGGACAAAATCGTAGATCAATTGCAATGGTCCTACTTAAATTTTTTTCCGTGAACTTAAAAATGACAATCGAAACTAGGTACGAGGACAGTTCGATGAAAACCGAGGAATATTCCATCTACTGCGGTATTGAGGAGTAAAAAAATTTCACATGGGATAGAATAGTGTGTCTTAAAACACAAAGAACATGATTTCAATAAACGCTTTAAATTATTTTTCTCTAATTTAATTCTACTCTTTCTCTTCCCAAACACAAAAAGTTCCCGTGGTACTGAGTGAAACGTTGGTGTACACTTTGAAATGACTTTTTTAAGGTAAAACAATTTCAGGAATCTGCGATCTTCAAGTGTTTATTTATTTCCATAGTTTTATTTAGCAGCCCAAATCAAGCGTTCTTTACTTGCTCGGTTTGCCAATGTGCAATGATGACACCTCCATTTATCCTGTCATTGATCCTGTTACTTAATGCAGACCATTGAGGCGTGGATTAGTAGTTTCCCTTTTGCTCTACAAGTTTTACGTCGGCTTACACACTGGCCGAAGAAATACATAAGCATAATCAAGGAAAATAATATTATACTAATGTTATTGAAAGAGGATCAACGTCAATATATTGTAGTAGCCACTAAACCGCATTAGCGTGAAAGACTTTCAGTAATATAGCAAAAATGGAAAACAGTTGAAATTCAGATGTTCAGTTAAGCTCACAGAATGTTAATGTTCACGGTTTTTGAGGGTAGTAAAAGTGAAAAAGACTTTCTTCAAACTGTGACAAAAATAAATCGCTTACATAGCCAATTTTAAAACACAAAAGCTATGGAGCTTGCATTTCCTTCTTCTTGATCGACTAGAGGTGATGAAAGCAAAGCCCTTCCCTCAAATATCACTGTCCAAACGACGAGATCACCTCTCCACGCCATAGAAACCTTCAGTTCCGCTCATAAATATTCTAAACAGGACGCTGTAAGAGCGTGGGCTTGTATGAAGCCAAGCGCATGAAATCACAAACCTTGTAGAATAAACAATAACTTAAATGACCCTAACCACTGTTAAATTATTTGGGACGGACGCTTTACTTAGGGAGAAGTCTGACACTTCTGATGGTTTGGAATGTTAAATATTCAACCGTAAAATCCACGCCATTTGAAACTGAAGGACCCCACCGCATTGGTAGATGGTCATGTCGTTTAAAAAGTGACATTTGAGAATAAAACTTTGCTCTCTTTCACCATATTTGGTCGATAAGGAGGAAGGCAAATCGAAGTCAGTGGCTTTATGTTTTGGAATTGGTTGTACAAGCGAATTCGCATGACTAAATTTTCCAACTCTCGTTTTGTGTTACAGCCACGACTATGACCTTGCGAGGTAAATAAGATTTATTATTTTAAAGAAAGGGCCCCTAACCCGTCTAAATACTCACTGACTAGGTATGTTCTAACAGCAGTTACTGGATGTTGATTCGCCACTTGATTTATGAGTAATAAATATGCACCATATTTAAAAATCGCTATTATTGTAAATATTTCAGGTGTCAGTAAAATGCCGAAAACTTGCCATTGCTTTGTAGTTTAGGGTAAACAAAACTCCTTATGCCACTTCAATGAAATAGTCAACCAATGTCTAGTCTCACTTTGGGCATTTCCAGTACATCAGTGCGTTCACAATTTCTCCATATACAGGATTTCAACCCAAGCAATATATTTTTCTCCAACCTACCGGGTTAAAAGTATCGCTAAACTTCACGGCGTGAAGTGCCAGTTCAATAATTCGTTTAAATGACCTAGTTTAAGAGGTAAAATAACACATCAAGAGTGATAGCTGGACTCCAGACACTAAGATGAGGGCTCCCAACTCTACTGCATTTAGCACCAGAAGTTGGCGTTGTGATTTTACGACTTATTCGTCACCATTTAGTTTATCTCTTCGTCTTACCTCATGCACCTACTAACTTAACGTTCGTCTATAAACAAATGCGCCTGTCCATCTACATTTGTACTGAATTAAGCAGAAACAGTCTGATAGACGTAAACTCATCGAATACTAGGACTGATAATTGACGATTTCATGAATGCTATCAAGGAAGGTAAGTCATAATCACGAATGAAGAAGTAAGGTGCTAGTAGCCCAAAGATTACGGTAATGTGTAAGGCTTCAGTGATTGGCTTAAAGTGACTTCGGTAAAAATGAGCACAGGTCATTCAGTGATAATTGACGAATGAGGACACTGCCCGTCTACCTTCATGAACCTAGAATTTTTTCAATTGATGGAAATTGAAACCCGTACATAACATATATAAAACCCTGTAATCGATCAAAAGTTTTACGCTGTCCTTTTTGGAAGGTCTTTTAAAGTAGAGACAGATTATGCTCAAAGGTAATTGAGTCTTCATTAATTGTTTGCCATAAGGTGCCTCATACCCGATAAATTTCATCTAAAGCTATTTTGACAAATATTTACACACAAGTATATTATCTCTTCTGCATATTTTGTTCTTGCATTAAGTAATTTAAAAATCCAAAACAGCATTTTTCCGTGATTGAAACGAAGATCCTGTGAGTAAGGCTATTCGAGAAGTTGGTGAAATAGTAGGAGCCTAATAATAGAGGGCATCATTCAGGTAATCAAAACACTTAAAGAAGAAAGTGTCTGGATCTGATTAACTGTCGGGGGAATGCACATTTCATACACCCAAACCAGTGATGGTTACATTTCGATACATTTTGCTGTATATGCCAGTCAGAAAGGGCACGATCCGAAGCAAACAAGATGTGAACTTAAATCAGAGATATCATCAGAAATGAACGTAATATGAGCCTCTTCACCTCGTAAGTCGGCATGGAAAATTTTGTTGGGGCTTCACAAAGTGGTCAAACATCTCCAGGCAGAGTAGTGGTTTATTGCCGGAACTTATGTGTGATGTCGTGATATCACTGATTGAAACATAAGTCATGACACGGTTTAGTTAAAAACAATACATTTACCTTAGAAGCAAATAGAAGCCTTACAAAAGCTAATCAAAGGAATAATTTGAGGGAATGGTTAAAAACCAGAAAATGAAGACACATGATTCAATGCCTATAAAGTGGGCCTTGCCATTCCTTGCTTAACTCAGTTTTAGAATAGCATAAATGAATTTATGTCTAAAAATCAGTAAACATCCGGTTCAACAACCAAAACACACTGTTAAGGTGAACTAAATCCACATGTTCCTTGTTGACTTATTTTGAAATATCGCACAACTCAACATCTCTCTCATCACGACAACACAAGAACAGTAGCCTTGGATGCAGACCTTTCGATGGAATTAGCTAAATCTTGATCGGAAGCTGTACCTCAAAAAAAAGTAATATTGTTTAGTTTCTCTATTACCTATAGATATTTATGTATCCTCTGAATGAAGAATCATGCCCTTAATAGGTGGAGCGCTTACTAAACCAAGAATATGCTTAGAATCGCATTTCCCCTTACAAATTCAATGATTAGTGACCACTTTAAGTGTGATTTTAATCAATTCATTGAAAATTGACTCAGTTAACTCACCACGAAAAGAAGATTGAGGCTGAAGAGAATGAATTTCATAAATTTTACTGCGCAGGACATCGTCGATTTTGAAATGTGGAATTCCTCAGTCTGTGGTGCTGTATCACTCACGCACCGAATTTTTTCTTGAATGCGCCGATTTGTAGTAAACTCGAATCGTCGATACGAACTTCGTTATTGTAAAACTGAAGGCTCATTGGCTAACACCGCCCTCAGCTCCCATTGGCCGAGCATCGAATGTCTTGGAGCATGTGTCTGCACAAATTCAATGGTTAATGGATTGTTTGACGTAATTCTCGAGTCGATGATTGAGCAAATTTACCCTATTCATCCGTCATTACCATCTGTAAGCATTTAAAAGCATACATTGGGTCTAGTGCTATAAAAAGGTGTCACTTTATCCAATTAACAATTTCGGAAGAAGTGCGTCTGGGTAGGATCATTCACAATCTAATTGACTTAAGTGGGGTACATCGGCGGCTAACGTGTGGAATTGTAGAACCCAAGACATAAACGATTCCCCAGAATTCAGGTAGGAATCACGTCAACGACAATCATCGTGTAACGTATGCCTAATACAAGGCGAAAATGAAAAAGCTGACTAGACTGGTTTATTTTAGAATTTTAGGGGGAGTCCTTGGATATAATTACAGGGATTAAAGTCTGTGCAAGTTTTGAAACATTAATTCCACGTATCATAATTATTGCACCTGGAGATGGTGTGCATACACAGGGATTAAATCAGGAATGGTCGGTTAAAGCGACTCCAATTCTATAAACACTCCGGGAAAAAGGATTACTTGGCAGAGTTACATTTGATGTAGACGTAAGAAACCACGATAAGAAATACCAGAAAACGAATGTCAGCTAGTTTTAGCAGTCTTTTTTGAATTTAATTAAAATAGAAGGCATGGTATTTAAGTACCGTTTTCAGTCAGATTAAGTGAATTGCTCGGAAAAGACCAGGCATGAAAAGTTTCTTTATTGTAATAAATTTCTGTAGGTAAGTTTCTTCAAGCTACTTGGTTCCCCGGTTTTCCACTTAGTTCCCTTACAACTCAGATACTTTCTTATTAACCAGTATAAGCTCTTCCCTTATTAACAGTGTGAGATATTGATTTACCCGAATACTGACAATAAGGTAAATGCAATACGATAGTGGTTTATCCCTCGGTTCTGGTGAGGCGCCACTTTTGTACTTCGAATTAGCTCCCTTATACCTTGCTGGGTGGGCTGGCCTTTTGGGCTATGCCAATAGCCCAGACACCTTTTCCGTGCTGGATATATGTATTCTGCCCGAGTATTGTGTCTTCTTTCGTCTTTAGGGAGTCTCGGGACGCTACATAAATACATTGGTGAAGTCCCTAACACGAGGTTTTTTTTGTTTGCCATCCTCAACATGTTATTATGCAGTCCACATATACTAATCACAAACCCCGAAAAGGTAGTGCAAACGCCTAAAACATGATGTAGATACTTTAGAACTGGAAGTTTTTAATGGTCAGGAGAAAAGTAGAGATGCGTAAACGAATTAATCAAACAGAAGTAGAAATGACACGCCCTTGAATCTATGGTTTCGTGATTTGCAAAATCTAACCTTTAATCTAGCGATAAGTTCTTAAAACCACATTAATTAACAAATTGAATTTAATGCCGTGATGTGTTGCCTGAGTTTGCGCCTAGTAACGCGAGGACTCCCATTTTTTCGAGTTATAACCCAACAGTGCTGCACCGTCTATGGACCGTGCTGATAATCTGTTGATTCTTCTCTACTGTGGCGCTAAAAAGGTTCTAGGATGCCTTGGTTTATTGTGACTTCAAAGAATGCCAGAAGTGATTCATTAACCGTGACACAAAACTGACTTAAGATGTGTCAAAAGTATGTGTGTAGATTCCGACCAAAACTAAGGCTTAAGCATGTGCCATGTTCATTTCAACACAAATCAGCTACTTAGTGGAGACTTGTCGCATCCATTATGGGTGCGTGAAATAATTTTTGACTATAGGATGCTAAACATTCCTGCAAATTTTAAGGTGCATTTGTAGGGGCTTTGCAAAGGCCGCGGATCAATTTCATTAATTTTTGACACACTATCTAATTTCTGCCATACAGTGATCACAACTTTCTACCTTGAATGTGTTTTAACTGTCCGACGGCCTATCTAAGGTGTTTGCTACTTTTAAGATTGTGGAATTGTACACTTGCATCCTATGGTTAGGAATGCCGGATGTTCATAAGTACAAAGGTAATTATTTTGAACTCTCTGCAGAGAGGACTTGTTGTTCTGCATGGTTTTCAACGAAGAACTTGTTCTCTAACATATTAACTTTGGTTATCGGCCAATTGTTTAATAGAGATCCGCCTACAAAAGTGTGTTGCGGCCTTACCTGTTTCCATTCCTTAGTCTACGCCTTTAGATTTACAAAATAGTTGGTTGAAGAAGAAACAACCTTCGTTGTAGGCTTTTACTTAGCATGCCCTGCTACGTCTTAGTAATTAAGATAGGCATTTATACATATTTGTATTATTACTTTGCGGTTATAACTGTGGCACATTCTATGTTCAAATCTCTTATGTATGCTAGCTAGTTGCTTCTGTCTCGCGTAAAACGCTGTGCTGTTACTTCATATCTAAACCTCCATATCCCCTCAGAGTTATCAGAAAACTCATTAGTTACTGCATTTTGAGTCTGAGAGTTACTTCACCATTATTTACACATATTTTAAGCACTACCTCGGACTTTTTGTCTTTCTGTTTTTTTTAAATGTCAGTTGCTAATGTGAGCATGTGGACATCCTCTTGCCAATTCGCAAAATCACTGGGCTTTTAGATTTCTCAACCCCAAAATACGGTCTTTTATTAAATTATTTAAAGTTCTCACATTTTTTTCATTTGGTAGATTATTAGATGTTTTATAGGTGTAATAGCGAACTACTCTGTTAAACCAACTACCTTACCTGTGGAAAATCGCATTTCTCGAGTCGAAGGATTGTCCGACAGGATTAAGTTTTCTCGTATGAAAAAAAAATTACTTCTCGTAATAGTACTGTTTTTTTATTGTTTTCGAAAAGCACACACTTTTGCAAAAGTGTTAGCGAAGACTTCCCTGTGCTTGACACTCGCAAAATACCCCTACTTTATACTAATTGTGTCTTTTTATCTAATAAAATCAAAAAAACTTTTGTATCTCACTGCCTTGAGAACCCTACTTGTAATATGGTCTTACAAATTATTAGTTTCGTTACTTACGACATTTGCTTCAGTAGCATTGAAGTTCTTTATAAAGCACATTTTGTTTCGAAACAAAATGGTCAATTCGAAAGCAGCCGATTACTGACTAATGACTAGGTATCACGTCTTAATAAACCGTTCTAGACAGATCTAACCATAATTGCTTGAAGATAGCAATTATGCAATGCATGGTTCCATAGAAATCTGTATCACGGCCTCAGATGCTTCCCATATTTACAGAAATCACTTTTTAATAGGTAGATACAACATAGCACACCATAGTACTTGTTATTCGCCCGACACGCCGGCCGCATAGTTGTGCTTTTCTATTGGTTAATTCCCCCTCTTGCACAAAGAGGTGACCTTGGCGTGCGTTTTATTTATCCCTGCCTACTGTAAATTCGCCACCCCTGTCGCCTTCTTAAATGGATTTCATCTCCTCCGCTGCAGAACGTTTCACCGACTTTCGCCATCGCGTCGCTTACACCGGACGGGAGTTGCTAGAGCGCAGTCGAAAGTGGCGTAGCTTCTCTACCAAATCTCCCTCTAACTGTGACGTTGTAGTCACTTTCAAACGAGGCACTAGTGAGAGTCAGGTGGACTGGATTTCCAACCGCCTCCAAGCACGGATTCCTGAGTTGCTTTTCACCAAAACTTTTCACAGTGGCACTCAACGTCCGGCGCTCTATCTAACCTGCTCGTTTAATGAGTAAGTTGTTGGTTCAATTCCCTTACTAGTTAAGAACATTTTCTTTTGTTGAGCATGTTGATACTTTTGATACATTAAACTGTACCGTGAATATCTATGTTCTCTTTGGTAATAACAATTTCGCACGCTTCTGGGGCCGTAAAATCAGCTCTCCAAGTTTGGTTAATTTTGAGATTATTTTTCGTCAGGAAATACTTTTTATTGGAAGTGCACAATATGATTAATATATTCGTCCAAATTGACTTTGGATCACACTAAGGCGCATTGGTTAACTATTTTTCTAATTGCTGAAAAGTTCAGACATCGGTTTAATCTGATTCATGTGTCTTACGATGATCGAAAGGTTAGGTTATTCAGGATACACTGTGAGGGTAATTCACATAAACAAGTGGCAGCTTCTGTCATGCCCTAGATGTAGTCAGGGTGTGGCGTCAGCTCTCCGTTGCTTAGGCAATATTAATGCTGTTAACGTCAAAGCTGAACTGTGATTTACAGGATACGCCATATGGGTATGCTATTGAAAGGCGATTTTATAATTTTCAGTAGTTTCGTGACAGAAATGTGTGATTGATGCTGTATTTAATTAAACATGAGGTACTCATTTATTTTTTTAATGGGAATAAGTAAACTTGCATTCAGCTCGAATCACTAAGCTCGTTTAACTGCAAAATATCAATTCTGCATTCATTCATATGATCCAACACGCAAATCCGAAATCCTTAACGCGAGTAGAATTGTCTCTGCCGATAAATGTATGTGCCCGTAGTAAATATTTAATGGTGCCTGGTTTCGGCTAATAGTGTTTCCCATCAAAATGCCATCTTTTTGGTAGATCGCTAAGGTAATAAGCATTATTTTGACAGGGACTAATGTGCAGGGTTCCTTTTTTTGGAAACTCATAAATTGAATGCCAAATATTTTATCTGCATCAATCTTTCCTCTACTCTATTCCACAGAATTAAGTTAGGCAAAGAAGGTTCTGATCTCCTAGTGATAGTGGAATATCCATAGTTTAACGGCTCTTTAGTCTGGTTTTTATTCGAGTAAATCACGCAGTTATTTACAGCAACTACGGTCGCCTACATGTGTCCGGATCTTTGATTTGGAAACCGGTAATCAGTGTGGTCCTCTGTTTAAAACCACCCAAGTCTGATGTTTGCGTTGTAATAGCGAAATATATGAGTGCTTCTCTTTTAATAACTACTTTATATTTTTTGCAATCGAGACCAACGAAATGTTAGTTCCTCCTCATTATCACCTTATACCAAGACCAATTCTTAGGCGCTTGCTCGACACATATTTCCGAGTGGCACCGTAATCCATTCAATTTCTTTAATGCATCATTGTCTACCACGCTACACGGTGTTCAAGGAATCTAATCGAAATGAATAGATTGTAGAAATTTTTCAGAAAGTGTTTGATTTCAATTTAGCCATCGGGAATCTGTTATGGTTTATTTTCACACGTTTTACGAGCAAAGATTTTATTTTGCTGCAATTTTCTCATTGTCAATTGATATCTCTTTAGACCGTAGGTAGAGTTGCAATAATGTCTAAAATGATGCTGTTTCGTTCTTATTCTTCGTGTTTGAAAGACGCGACTTTGAAATCCCATAGTAATAGAAGTGCTCGCAGAAAATTTAAGTGGATTCTAGCCATTATATCAGTAAATCAAGTCTTTCCCAGTCTCCGCTAAGTAAGTCAAAATGAATTAAAATAATTTTGATCCATAATTTTCTTTAACAAAATAAAATGCTGCTATTTTTGTTTTTCTCTCCTTCCAAATTAGTTTTTATTTTGCATAGAGGAAATTTCTTTTGCTGGTTGTTTTTCCAAAAATACAAAGGAATTAGCCATTTTAAAAAGTCACCGCAATCTTTTTTTCACAGTCTCTTGAAAGGCGCCCGGGAGGTTCGACTGCGGAAGCGACTGGCACCAGAATTTGGCGGTGAGATGCAGGAGTTTTGTATCGAGGACTGTGAGAACTTTGAGGGCTTCTTTGACCACGAGACATTCTTTACCAGTAGCGAGCGGCAGGCCATCGTGCGCTACTACCTTATGAGTCTCCGGGCCATGGCCGGAGATGCCTGGGACGATGACATCAAATTTTCTCAGGGACAGGCCATAAGTGCGTAAATTTAAGAAAAATGCATCATTTTAGGGATCTTTGTCTTTCATAAGTCATGTGTTATGCGCCTATGGGGTTCTCGATGCATTATGTCATCTAATCTCGGGCCTTGCTCCCTGACTATTCAAAACGGTTTTTTTCTTTTCAAAGTTTTTTTATTAGAGTGTTCTAATTCTGATTGAAGTGCCTTTGGCATGAACAATGGCCACTCAAAAACGAAGCGGATTTAATTATTATGCCAGCTAAATAGCAATTGCACTTTATCTGACCGTTGTTGTTATACCTGATGCAAAAATTAACATTTTTTACCACTTTTTCTCTTTCAATCACCTCAATATAATCCTTGTAATTTTTTTCTCCCTTTAACAACCTTGCATGAGTGAAATACGATTGAATATGGCACTATTGAGATTAAGACAAAAAATGAGTCAGGACGGAGCCTTTTGTGTGAGTTGTTTAAAAACTCACGTAAAAGGCAGTTGTTTATTGCTTTTCTGTCTGATTCTGTTTTCTTGGAAAATATTCAGGCATGTTTATCACGTTGACTTTAAATCAAATTTTTACTAGAGAATTTGGGCTTAAGGGGAGAGAGTGGCAAAGTTTTTCGTTTTTTTTACTATTGCTCCATATTTATGACAAAAACCGTTAATGTTCAAAAGATCTGGGGAAACTCTCAAAAATGATTAAAAGAACCTTTAGCAAGTAAATGTGCAATGTAGCGCCCCGAAACTTTCCTCAAGCCGACAGAAGATATAATAACCGGGCAGAATACATGCATATTTAACATACGGTGGGGCTTGGAGGCTAGGCCGCCCGGTGGCGGTGCAGTGGTGCAGCTCCTGAGTGGACCGTTATCAAAACCCGGTTAACCAAACAGTTAATGTGTTGTAATAAAATACAAGAGTTGCGATACCCACTTGAAATCTCAAAATAAATAAACACTACATAATCTCGGGCATCTGTTGTTTGGGGATTGTGCCTAAGTGGAATCAATGCCTCCAATTCTATATGATAATCACAGAGACGATTCTTACGATAAACTGATTTTCGAATTTAAAGTGATTATTACCAATCGCAGTGCGTGATGATTCTATGTTAAAAGAAAGCGTTTGCCCCGTGTCCTCCATGTCACAACAAAACTTGCTGTCTGTAGTTGGGGTAATCTGTTTGGTGCCCTGCGAATTCGCTGCATATTGTCAATTACCTGGGCTGCTACCTTTGTCTTCCCCATGTGTGTGGTTGTCCGATTTTAGCTAATCGCGGCATTTAGCCCCACCGCCCATAAAATGCCGCCTATTTATTATAACACCTACGAATTTGCCCACTCTTCCAACATAAAGTGTGTTTTTTTTAGCAACGCCTTTTCTAGGTTTTTTAAATTCTTCAGTCCTTTTGTTTTTTTCCAACTTTAGCAATGTGTTATATTTTCTTGTCTAAAAGATCGTATTATAAAATCGTTCCAATTTAAAATGAATCCAATTGCTCTAAAATGGTCCTAATTTGCTATTAAATTAAAATTTAATACTGTAAGACTAACATAACTTATAATAAAAATGAGTTTTAAGGAAACAAAGCGTTTTTTGGCAAATGTTACCACTGTTGGCAGTTAAAGTCAGTAGTCTGACAGGCAATGCTTCTGCTTTTCTATACTGAACAGGATTTCTAGTGTATCTTTAAAATAAACCGAGGATTTAGCTATAGCCATTAAGACTGCATATTTTTAGAAGAATATCAGCGCGAATAAGCCTTTTCGGTAAAATTTGTAAATGCCTCCAACTGTGATGTTAAGTATTTCCAGATGAATTCTACGTAGAATTTCGAGACCCATGATATATGAGCATTGTACCCAAATAACCTGGAAAGTGAAGATGCTGGTTATTTATGCGATATTACCTTTTCAGCAAATTTTGCTGGGAATAAAGTTGCTGCGGCTTACAAAGTAGCAGACCACTTTTACCATCGACTTTAAAACCTAAGGATAGGCGAAATATTTAAAACCCGGGCATGAGTTTCCTTTATCTTCCAACATGGAACATAATTACAAGGCACGCAAAACTCGGACATAGTTTCAAAGAAAAACAATCAAGTAATCATTTTTATGGTTACAAAAGCCACCCTTGCATGTCGGTGCAAATGTATAGGCGAAATCGGAGTCCTTTATGTTATACTGCCTATGCTGTTGACAGTGGGTAGGATAGCAATGATATTTCGACGAGATTTTGTGGTCAATAGGCTTGATAAACTATTCCATCTCGTCAACGGTAAATAAACTTCCCTAATAACGCCTAACATGCCTGGAGTTATTACTGAACATCTGCGTGTATTTTTAGCGCTTGTGCAGCTGTCAGGGCAGCGAATTTGCTAAGCTACCCCACCGTGTAATGATTAGTAGGAATCCTTTTACCGTAACAACTATGATAACTACAATTGTTAATGAAGACCCACATGTATTCCAGTGCCAGTGTTGCTGGCAGCGGGCAAAATTGCGACGATATTTCCGCTTCATGATCGAGAGGCGCTAGCGATGCTGCACAACTCGTGGGTGCGCGGTTTCACACATCGGCAGCCGTTAGATGCGGTGGCTGAGTACTTCGGAGTCAAGATTGCCCTCTACTTCGCGTGGCTAGGCCACTACACCACCGCTCTCCTCATTCCTGCCATTTTCGGTCTCCTCTGTTGGCTCATTGTACCTGCTGGGGTGGGTTTTCCTGTTTTTACCACGCTACACGAAATATAGCCAGTTTTATTCAAATAAAAGACCACTTTCCGGTGTTTACTTAATTGCAGAACTATGAATCAGCGAGATTTCTAGTATTAGTTTTACATCTACATTTCATGCTAGAAATTGCTTATCAATCACAGGTTTTACATTAGTAATAGACACGTTTTAGTTTGTTAATGTATATTTAATGGGCAAACTATTGATATATCATATTTCTGTTTGGTCAGTCTCATAAGCTGTCGAATCTACGCAAAACCCAAAGGTGTGATATTGGGGCCATAGGGTTTGTCCACATTCATCCATCCAGTTTATAAAAGCCTATAAAACGTGCTTAAATCTTCGGAACAATGCTACATATTTAATTGCTCTCAAAACTCAATACTTTAGGTAAATATTTTTGTTTAACTTTTTTACTGATAAGGACAAATTTCAGTAATATTTAGGGTGGTGTGAGATTAAACAATTCATTTCGCCCATGTCAACTGAGAAGAGAGAGTCGGGGAATCTGCTAAGCAAGTAAGTGACACATGCATTAGAAGATGGCAGGAAGCCCTAAGGACTATCGGTTGGATCTTTACTCTCCCTCATGCATATTATAAAAAGCGTTGTGGGTTTCGGAAAATTTGCCACCTGGATGGCTGGCTGATTGAGTGATTTGGGACGGGCAGTATTTGGTGAGCGAGAGAATGAATCACTTGTGATCCCTAACCGATGCACTCGCTACTCACTACACATTTCTAAGGTAATGCAGCACTTTAGTTCTAAAAAAAACATGTTTTTGTATGCGTGTGAGCGTGATGGACTGCGGACGGAATTTTTACCTTGCTGAAGGCCAAAAAAGAACAATGAATGGTATATATGAGCCTGATACAAATCGAGACAGCTCGAAGGTATGCGCCAGGAAAATTTAGCATTGAGGAACAGTGGGAACTAGCGAGTTAGTGGAAAGAGAGTCTTATCGCACAGCACAAAACTGACACAGCGAGAATTGCGCTTTGGGGCGGCAGGAACAGGGTGATGATAACTCGTTCTTGTCCTTCATTTTGCTCTATTGTTTCGCCAAGTGGTGACCACTTTTCTTTGACATCAGTAGACAATCAAACGCGAAATTGAGTGAGGTAGTTGGGAAGTGAGGCGTGGGGGGGAAGCGGAACTGGCTAGGGTGAAGCTCATTGCTTTTAGAGACGGAGCGTTTTATAATTATTGAAATCCACAAGTTTGTATCTCGCTGAGGAAGGACGGTAGATTATAATGGTGCACATTTCCATAGACACAATGATTGGTTAAATCTGTTTAGCTGATTCGGAAATCAGTGTATTTTAAATGTCACTTGTGTCAGTCGGTACGAAGGGGTGATCAACTGGTTTAGTATTGTTTGCAAATGCACGTTACGGAGGCGTTGGGGGCAAATACTTATTTAGTCAATTTCTGTATGATTTATTACATATTTTGCTACACCCCATGACACTATTGTTGAGGTTGATTGATGCGGTAGATCAATCGCCTAGTTTCTTAGAGTTTTTCTCAATTTTTATTTGATACTGGGGGGGAGGGGGGGAGGCGAATTGTTTTCTATCAAATTTTTCGCAGACTTGTAAGGTTATTTTAAAATGCAATGCCATTTTGGATAAGGTATTTTTTACTATAGGAACGCATTTGATGTTGATAGTACCGAACACTTTTTCGAAATTCATAGCGATAAAAAATAAGGCATAAGCCGTTTATTGAAGTGTTTTAGTAATATCTATATTTAAATATATTTAGAACCAAGTTATAGAAATTTTGAATTTCCTGTAAAATTAAGTCCTAACTTCAAGCGTTTATTGTTTCTACGCAAGGGTTTCTTCTTTGATGACTTTGTTGTTAACTTCCACGGAGCAATAGGTAGCCATGATTCCAAAGCTTCTTAAAACTTCGCCTTACTGCTTATTTTTATAAACAACGGAAACAAGCTTTCTCTGCGTTAGTGATAAATGAAACCCCTTAAAGTGACAGCATTCGATTTGAAGCTGTGTGGCGGAAGTACAATGGCGAAGCCCTAAGTGGGCTGTTAGCAAAACCGAGAGTTTGACAAGCTATTATTATTGTTATTGTCGTTTCTGTACCGACTGAATGTCAGCTTATTTGCTCTTTAGAAGGAAAGGGCACTACACTACCCTGTTTTGGCTTTCTTTACGATGTTGTGGGCGGTCTTCTTTCAAGAGGTCTGGAAACGAACCAACAACCATTACACCTACCACTGGGGCACCTTGGACAAACTGCCCAGTCTCCTGGAGCAACCTAGACCGCTGTTTCGGGTGGGCAAATTTGCATACCATTTGTAAATTTTTGTAAAGTTGCGCCTGAAATCGATGTTTGTTACTTTAATTACTATGGCTAGCGAGGAGTAAATTGGCTGGGTCAAGTTGTAAAGACCCTGTCTCCATCTTCCGACCTCCCTCTAGCATTTAGTTTTATACCACTAAGATCTTCATAAAAAGGTCTCAGCTTAACCAAAGGTTCAATTCCGTATTTTAAATTGACCTTATTTGTAGGCGAATTGGCAGACCTTGCAAAAAGTGGTAAAATAATAATGCTTGGATGTTTCTTCCAAATTGTGTAAATAATTCAAAAGACGGAAATAGATCCAACAGTTATTGCCTTAAACCACCACCCGTCCTCCCCTACAATTCAATTTAAAGTTAAGGGTATGTCTACATTCACAATAAGGCACTTAAACTTGGATCCAATTTCCACTGTGGCCTCTTGGCAATCATGTCTTTTAAAAACGGCACTCAATAATGATTTCTAAATTATAAAAGTCAAATGGGAAATGAGTTGTTGAGTTATGTGTCCAGATTCACCATACCATTATCACGGCCGGATACAAGTAAAATTTTACCTCCCACAGGGATCACTGTCGAATTGTATACAGATCCAGTCATCCAAAATTAATCTATTGGAATCGCCACTGACCCATCCACCCGCCCATATTTCATTTAACTAATCCACACGACGGAGGTGAAGGCTAAAAATGGCCCTAAGTAGAGGATGGAGAGTCCAACGTGTTCACATGGTTGCTAGGCCAGAAAGTACAGATTAGCCGGATAATGGGAGCAAAGTGGCACTAAAATGACTACACTTTACTCATCATTAATGTTTGTTGCCTTCCTTTCAAACCAAAAATGTCGCATCCAACTGAGCAATTTATATTTTGTTAGGTAGTTTTGAAATAAGACAAGAAAGTACACCGAAGACCTTTTTAAGTCTTATTTCGTTCTCTTTTTCCATTTACGTATTAGAAAAGTAGACTTAAAACGCTGGCACGCTTTTGTTAAACCAACTTTTGCGATTGGCAGTACCAAGTAGTGCATGTACATGTACTTGTAGGTCGGGGACATTTTAGCAGGTCAGCTAATTGCTCCCATTATCCGGCTAATCTGTGCTTTATCTTCGAACTCTACTTAGGGCCATTTTTAGCCTTCACCTCCGTCGTGTGGATTAGGTAAATGAAATATGGGCGGGTGGATGGACCAGTGGCGATTCCAATAGATTAATCCCTGTGGGAGGTAAAATTTTACTTGTATCCGGCCGTGATAATGGTATGGTGAATCTGGACACATAACTCAACAATTCATTTTGCATTTGACTTTTATAATTTGGAAATCGTTATTCAGTGCCGTTTTTAAAAGGCATGATTGCCAAGAGGCCATAGTGGAAATTGGATCCAAGTTTAGGTGCCTTATTGTGAATTCGGATTAAGTTCTTTTCGCTTGTTGACAAGTTTGAATTGCCTCTACTCCAGAGTAAAAAGTGCAAAAGTTCAAAGCAAAAATAAAATGGTTAAAGTAACTGTTCTTTTCCCCTTTACCTGGGTCGACTAATCACCTGATGTATTTTGTGCTACTGTGGCAAATTTGGATCTCTGAAAACTTTTTACTTTCACTGAAGGTTTGATTACAGGATCAGTCATATCAAAAAAGTTGAAATGGTATTCGTTTTTTAAACGGCAGTGCTGAATGAATGTTGTGACTAAAACTATCGCTATTGAAAGGAGTAATTCCGGGTACTTTCTTGAGCATAGTTTATTTAAATAACAATGGCTTGTTAAAGTATAAATCAACTTTTCCGTTAACTTTTTGCCGACCCAAACTTGGTGAAACTAACATCACCATCGAAAATACTTTCACCTAAAATATGTGCATTTTTGCGCTTATTTTGAGGATTGTAAAATCACAATAGCCTACATCAAGTTGGCAATTGACTGCAACCTAAATAATGAGAGAATACGGCTTTTCCATCTCTCTTAAGGGGGTCCTGGAACCCTCGCCAATAACTGGTCGTTTGGAGCCCTTCTACCCACGATGGAAAAGAAATCTCATCGTTTGTTTCGTCACTTTTCCCATCACTCTCGTTTGCCTCCTCTTCGTTGTTGTTGTGGCAATCGCCCATATCAAACTGCAGGAGTATGCTGACCTTAAGTCATCTTCCTGGCGTTTTCGGGGCGCCACACTTGTACCCTTCTTACCTATGGTGAGTTTATTAGGAAATCTTCAATCGCTAAAATGTGGATACAAATTTGAAATTCGAATGCTAGACTTTATTTGTCCACCGGTTTAGTCCCATCTTTTTTATCCACTTTCCGATTTTATAAAGTATTTTGCCTTTCTGTCGTCCCCCAAATATTATGTCACTTTCTGTTTGTGAATTGCAACGAATGGCGTTAGTGCGTGGGAAATTTTTGGCACAACGGTGATATCACAGGCATAACAGAAATAAGCAATAATTGAGTTTGGTTATTCCTTCTTTTAGCTCTTTTATCTCCTTCTAATTTGACTATCAACACTTTCGAATTCTTTCGTTTGCTATTATTGATAGGTGTTGATGCAACTATTTGAATTATTTTCCTTATCCATTAGGAAATTCAAATTGTGTTGCCTTGGTCGAAATTTATTGTTTCTCATCATGCAGAGACAGCCGAAATTTTATGAAATTCCGCATCGCTTGTGTTTCTGAATCCCTTTAATCTGAAGTTGTTTTTTTCTAATTAATCGTGCATCGCCAATAAATTGACTTCCCTTTTGTTTTCGGCTACCATCACTCCAAATTTCACAAAATAAATAAGCTACTTATTAATTAAAGTAAAAGTAAAATTTCTGATTATTTTGTTCTGGTTCAGAACAAGAATCATTGCCAATTTTTAATTCCATACTTTATAAACTTGGCAAAAATACATTTTTTAGTAAAAAGTATCATTTTCAGACATTCAGCTTACGTTAAAAGTATGAGTTCTTTCCATAACTCCCATTAGAAAGACGTTTTTTTCGACCACTCCATCTCATTCTGGCTTCCAAATCAGAAGAACTGAAATATTTGCAGATCATTTTTTAATCTTTCAGATTCTTTATGGGGTGAACATTACTGTATTGAATGCAATTTATCACAAAATTGCAGTTCATCTGACAGAAATGGAGAACCATCGACTTGATGAATCGTACAATAACGCACTGATATCAAAACTCATTTTGGTAAGCATTTCTAACGTTATAAGCTCTGTTAAATTTCCCAGAATAGTAAGTCTTGAGTCAGATTTTAGACATAAAAGGTTGTGCAGCCCTATCGTAGCTATTTTGGATCACATTCGCGTATCTTTCTTGCTAAGATGTATAAATGAGGAACTTTTCCAGTTCTCTTTTTTTCTTGATACTAATAATAATCGGGCATGTATAATTTCTTTACAGCTTTCATTTCATCTCTTTAAACAATAGCAGCTTTAAATGCCGCCATGAACTATTTTACTGATCCTGGAAAAGCAGAATGTGATACCTAAGCTCAAATTATTTTCATTTTAGTTTCAGTTCATAAATGCCTTTTACGCGTCCTTCTACATCGCCTTCTATCGGATGGATCTGGCTCTCCTCAGACATGTATCTTTTGCTTTTTTAACCGTATATTGTGTTGAAACAGAATACGATTGATATAACTGTGCAAAAAATTCTAGACACATAAGAACCAAATCCTATCTTGCTGCATAAAATTTGGCCTTGCTATTTGTCGCTTGCATGAATTCGCATAATTTTTGTAGCACTTTCCATAAGTAAGATTCTGTTGATAACTACGACCCTGGGACATCTTTCTATCTCACAAGCAACTGCATATGTGCGCTCTTAATTTTCCCATTCCTATCATCCTACCTCCTATTTTCTCCATCTTCGCTTTGCATAGCCCTTCTGAGTGAATTGTAAAGAGATGCTTCTTTTTATCTTTTAATTTCACTCTGTAGTTTATAATTATATCAGTTGATCAATGCAATTGAAACAAATTAAATGTCAAAAGATGTTAATTAAAGGCGTTTAAAGCATAACGACTTTTTTACGACACAATTTACAATTTCACATATCCCTATATCATATATGGGCGCATAAAATGTGATTGCAGTGAGCTTTTTTCGAGACGGTCAGCCCTTTTCCCGAATTTCGCGTTGGCTGTTTGTTTACCCTTGAATGTTTGCATTTTTTGAAAAATGTTATTAAAGGGGTAAATTCGCTCACTAATCCTTTTGATCCTGATGAAGTATTACGAAGTTGACGATAACAGCTCCTTCGCATGTATCAGAAATATCCTTTGTTGTTAGACTTTGATACATTTCATTTTCGCGCTGATACGGCCGGTTGTGTAATTTTGTCCATCAAATCATTTTCGCATAGCTTCTTTTCTATGGTTCACTGTCTTTTAAAATCGTGGAATAGATTTTATTGAAAGGGTTTTCGTCAAGACCACTGAACGAGTGAAATTATTTTCTGGACTCTGGTCATATTTCCTACGATTTACCTCTGAATTTAGTATTATTTTTAAGCAATAGGCTAACACTAAGTAAGGTTTGAAAACTGCCATTTTAATTGGTTCAATTTTCATTAAATTCGACAGTGAATTGGTGATTCAACTTATCTGATTATTCATCGTAAATTTGCGTTCTGTTTATATTTGATGCAATTTGGTTACCATTATAAAAGTCAACTCCATTTCATTGATAAAACTGACTCCCTGATTTTGCTTTTCACCACTGCAGCACCTCGTGACGACTCTTGTAATACGCCAAATCGCCGGCAATTTGAAGGAGGTTTTCCTTCCCTTAGGCCAAACTCGTATTCGTCAGGTCTACCTCTCCCTTCGTGCTGATGGTTTTCCAACCTTGAAGAAAGACGACCTACACACTCCTGGCACGGAAGCTTCCGATGGCAAATCATCTCCCAATAAGTCCACAGAGACCAAAATTACGCGAGCTGAGCAAGAGGAAATAATGCCTAAGGTATAACTCCTATTTGCTGCTGATTTCTACATATATCATGAAATCTTGCTATTTTACAGTATGATGATGCAACTAACGACTACCTGGAGATGTTCATTCAATTTGGCTTTGTCAGCATGTTCACCTGTGTTTTTCCCATCTGTGGACTGTTGGCCTTTCTCAACAACATCCTTGAAATACGCAGCGATGCATTTAAGCTTCTTACTAACTTCCAAAGACCTTTCTCTGAAACTGCCCGTGGAATCGGTGTTTGGGAAGTATGTTTATGATTATTACCATTTCCCTTTTCGTTGTCGAATTCAGATATCATTAGGAAAATCCCAAAATGGTGTATTTTTCAAAAAAAATTTGCCTTTGAATTGAGCATTTATTCTCAATAGTGAAATGTATTCGTATTCCATATGTCCTGTGGAATAGCTCGAATGTTCGATGGTCAACACAATAACCTACTCTGTTCTTTTAATTGTTCTCTTGTGATAAGACTACCCTTTAGTTTTGCCCTTATTCGTGGCATTTTCTTAATGCGTTTCATTTATTATGCTCCGTTCATTTCGATTGTGTGCATATATTTAAACAACCTTGATAGATGCATGGAATACTCGGTACACTTGCTAATTCAACGCAGTTTTTTATTACTAAGGTTCTTGCGAAAAATATTCAATGGTTTCTCACTTGTATTTATCGCTTGACACAATTTACGCTGTCAACTTCACCCATGTTATTTCTGTCCGTTACTCATAACTCAAATATACTTCCCTTTTCTCCCCTATTGGGACCTCGTTGGGGAATCAAGGTAGCCTTAAAGGCTCCTTTTTTCGGGGTTCTGATTACCTTGTAATTAGACAGTATAGGCTTTCACCTATGCGGTTAATGTGGCCAACTGATTCACCCTAATAAGTGGACTTGCGCTGTTCCCTTACAAACACATCTTTGCAACGCATTGAAGATGAGAATGCGTGTTTTTAAGTATTCACCTTGAACAGGTTGATTCTCTTAACACTCGTTTTTTTCACTTCAAGTCTTTTTTAGAATCAAAGAACCGTCACTAATGCATTTTAAAAACACTCATTCATAACTAAATTTCATGACAATTGGACTTTTTCATTTCTTTTACCTCTAGAGAGCTTTCGAAATAGTCAGTTACGTGGCGATTGCAGTAAATATCGGCCTTATTGGAGTGTCCGGCAGCATTCAAGCGCTCTTTCCTGGACTCACAACCCATCAGTATATCCTTCTTCTCATTGCGGTTGAGGTGAGTGTCTTTCTCATTCATTGACTGGAACCTTACATCTTATGTTTAAATAGTATTGCTATTTATCAGCATTAGGAACATTTTTTGAGTATCCTTTTGACTGTTCAAAAGAAAATACAAATTAGTGAAGAATGTTTAATCTTGGAAATTCGACTATTCCTCAAAGTCGTGGTTAAAAATTTATGATTGTTGGTTTTTTTGTGCAAAAAGTATCGATGAGCAAACTTTACTCCGGTGCTATCGCTACTCTTTGTTCATTGTTTTTCAATTTGGCAAATGTCTAACACTCTTGATAAAATTAACGCATAAATACTGAGTTAAAAATTTTGAGTAAATATTGGTTGTTAATTTATGCCGCAGATTTATATCGAAATCGGATTGTTGGCGGGTTCGCTTTGTTACCTAACTAATGTTTCACTTCATCAGTAACGTGTATCAAGTCGACAGCAAATGTGTCGCTTTCCGTTCACCACTTCACATCGTATAGTTGGACCTTTTCACCAACTCAGTATTGTGTCACTTCAGCCTGTTTTAAGCTAGAAACTGTCTACCGTGGTAGGAACTTGTGGACGCGTTATAGGTAAATAATTCCAAATCCAAGATTTGCTTTCCTTCTAAATTCAGAAGTAACCATCAGGATTCATTCACAGATAGGCAAACCCTAATTTCAGCAACAAGTTTTTACGTAATCTACATTATTTCTTCCTAAAAGTGGAGGTTGGGCTCATCGACTATTTATTTACATCCACAGTGTGAAGTCATTGTTGAGAAGGCCGACCACCATTAATTATGTACAAATTGTCCACGATCATGTACTTGAACAGTTGCCCTAACGACCGAAAAATATTTATTAAACCACAGGCATTCCTGTAGATGAAAATGCCACTCCTGACGTTATTTTCCATAATTTTGAATTCAGTTCCTTCATTTTTTTCAGTTGATTCAAATAAGATTTCATTCAGCCACTGTCAGGGCCCACTGGGAAGAAAAAAACGCTTCACTTTCATAAAACGATACAAGCCCACACACGCTGACAGGATTTTCTCCTGCCTGATTGAACATTTGAATGCTTTTTTTTCAATTTCGCACGTACAGCTTCTCTCTTCTTTTTGTTTAAAATATGTTCGACTCTTAAAAAGTCAAGAACAATTTATTCCATTGTTGCAATTGAGAAGCTTTTTGTAATTACACCCCTTTTTAACAACTTCCAGCACATTTTGTTTGCCCTTCGCTTTGGTCTCTCCCACATTGTCCCACCAATTCCTTTCGCTCTCGAGCGCTCCATCGCCATTTTGGAGCACAAGCGTCGTGAAGCGCTGCGGGTATGTCTACTCTATCCACTTGATTTCCCTGTTCCTCGTCTAATCATCCTTCAGATTTAGGTGTTAAAAGGACTACAAGTTCCACTGTTATCTGAGGTAGTTTAGACATTTCCTATTCTTTCGTTAGCTGATCGGATCTCTCTTCCGTTATTTGCGGTTTTTAATGAACTAGTCCAACGCAGTAACTTTTATTTCACCAGCTAAATAAGTTTGTGATTTAAACTCTTTATAAAACGAGAGTTAAATTTAGTAATTTTAGGTATACCTGTGTGTGCATAGAGTTAGTTGATGGTGGATTTGAAACTCTGTGATTCTTGATTAGTTCACCAAGGTTTTCATGTTAAAATATTTTTAAACATCTTTTTTAAATGAAATTACACAAAATCTGGAAGACAAATAAGAAATAAGTAGAAATCATAACTTCTGGATGAAACTTAAGTGTAAATTGGGTGTCCAGACAGACTAACACCTAGGTGTCCAAGAGTTGAGTACTTCAAAATGTAGTGTTTCGATTGATAAACTTTTTATAAGAGAAAAATGATCTGCAGGTAAATATTGGATTGAGGAAAACGGCATTATTATGTCGATGACAGGCCTCGATGGGATCGGCGCCTTCAAAAGTTTGTTATACAACAGGAGGTATCGCATAGTTCGTGTAAAAACACTCATTATTTGGATAAAGCATGTTAATTTTACTATAATTGTAGTCACTTAATCAAACTAAAGATTTTGTTACCTACAATGCATTTCGGGCCAGGCATCTACTATTTCGGGTTCTTAGTTTTTATTTGTCTGCAAATTTATTGGCGGTCATTAGATTTAGTTTCGCTCACATCAAAATATTGAAACTGCGCCCATAAGCCGTAGCCAGAAAGGGGGCGGCTCGGGCACTTTGTTATTTATCCCTACGCTCTATGCAGTCTACCTGGATAGTTTCCAATTTAACCCATTTGATTTTAATGGCAGATTCCTTTTTAGTTAAAGCTTGGCTACATGATGGGTACTGGAGTTTGTCATTATTGAACGAGGCAGTTTAAAGCTGTTTTTCTCCTCCAGACTTTAGAGCGTGAATGTCGAAAGGAGGCGAGGCGAGTTAGCGATGAAAACGACTCTCCGGATTATCCTAGTGATCAGACATCGGACATTGACACCCCCTGACATGCAGCTGCATAATCCGCACAAATATCCACTGAGCAAATTTGTTTGTCATCACTCATCAGAAATGTATTTTGTAGGCACAAAATGTTGAACGAATTTTGTGTTTGCATGACCTAACTGATCGGCTGTGCATACTATACTTATTTCACCAATGAAGCCGTCCGTGTATATGTCAATACAAGTTATCTTTTTTGGTCATTCAGGTTTGTGTACCAAATAAACAATCTGTAACCTTTATAAGTACAATGTAATAAGGTCTTACATTGCATTATTGTAGTCTCATTAGCAGAATTAAGTGAACGGCTTTCTTGCCTTGATAAGAATGCTACATGCGGCTTCTCTGGATACCCTACCTTTCAGTCGCTTGGATACATTTTCGCATCGAAACGCAGGCCTTCCATGACTAACTTTATGGAACAAGCGGAAGTAACTTCCGTTTCGGCTATACTGCTGCAGACGTCGCTTTTATCCTCCCTATCCTGATTGTCTTAAAAGCATTTCATGTTGTGAGACATAGCAATTTTATCTCCTGAAGAACTAATGTTCAAAATACACACTAGTTCTACTTTTACGAATTTTACTTCCCTGAATGAGACAGGTGGCCTTTGTTGCTAGTTTCTTTTATAATATGTAAGTTTTTTGCCCACAGGTAGATGTTGATAGCATGGAGCTGTCTTTGGCAAACTACTGTAATGAAATCATTCAAAAATGCGTGCATTATTAAGCAAACAACCTCCACTTTTTAAATTAAAAGCCCAAAAAATGGTGAGGTCCCTTGAGGAAACGTTCGTGAAGACCTATTATTAATGCATGATCTTCGGAGACGAATTGTGAAATACATTGAAGTTATCTATTAGAGTCCTAGGGAAAAATCGACTACCAGAGTCCATGTGGTTCGTTTTTGGAATACAACGTTCGTTATTTTGTTTTGCCTTACCCTTCCAACTCGATTAATTTTGTCATGTGTATAATGTGCGGGCTCTGCCAAGAAAATCAGGCAGTCACATATATGTGACGCTGGGGGAGAGTGAATTGGTACTAAGTCTTTTTATATACATTTGTATTAACTTAGGACTTGAAATCCACAAAAACTATGGTACACTCGCGATCGAGGTATTGACGGTTTCAAAGGCACTCTCCAAGAAATGCGTATTTATTAAGTGCTTCAATGCCTACACATGAGAATTTTAGCACTCAAAGGTGTAGCGCCTCAAGCCTTCTCTGAAGACTCGGAGGACGTGCTGCTAGGCGGAAGCACAACGATCGTGTCCTTCGGTGCCCGCGTAACCTAAACGAAGGTTTGAAAAACAATTTAAGCATTACAAAGGCGACTGTTAAACACGTCGCGTACTACCCGTTTCTCAAATGCAAGTCCATTTTTATGCGGTTGATAATCTTGAAGGCGAGGTGTAAATTTTACTAGCTTAATCTAGTACAAAGCCAAATGAGACAGGTGACTTTGACTCTCGCGCGCCGACATCTCATAACTCAAAGTCGCTTTGAAGTACTAAGTACTAATATAATTCCACATTCAGTCCATTTTTCACCGAAAACGAGAAGCTCGGACAAGTCAAATACCATTGGTAGAATGATTAATGTGTGTATTATTTTCGTCGATGAAATGCTACAAAAATCGAGTCTGTTTTTCTTTCACATCCTTCTATCATTACGCGATCATCAGTGATTTATTTGGATATAAAGTCAATTCTGAACTTTGTAGCTTGAACCCCCACTTCAATGTTAACGATAACTTTGAGCTCAAAAGGTACGTTTGCGTTGAAACTCTTCTAAAAGTACACTTTTAATCTTTACCTGAAAAGGCGTAAGCTTTAGAAATAACTTCAGTTAAAAGTTGCTTAGATTTTAAATTCGAAATACAGTACTGAGGGCCTCGTTTTGTAACTATTACGACGCCTTCCTTTTGAATTAGAGCACAGGACATAGAACAAGAGTTGAGATTGGTTGCATTCAATATTCAACAAATCGTAGTTTTGTTTCATTCGAAAAAGAATTTGTGGAGACTTTTTGCACGTGGACTTGACGTAATGCTTCAATAACCGCATCGCCTGAATCATGAAAGCGACAGATATGTATCAAAGCGTCTTAAGCGTTTCTAATGTATTCATTTCTAGATTACTTTGTTTGAGCGCAATTTATGCATGTTTAATGCTTTATTTATATGTTTAACTCTTTGTTTTTGATTTCTTGGGCACTTAAGGCTCCGCTTTTGCACTTTTGCTGTGCTGCACGACTTTTGAGCCGTGCTGGCAGTCCCCAGTCCCTCTTTACGTCAAAAATGCATATTCTACCCTATTATTGTCTTCTTTTGTCTTCAGGAACGACTTGTAGCCCTATATTGGTGGCAGTGGATAGCTACTCTGATGCTTAAGGGCAACTGTTTTGGTTCCTAGTTTTGAATACCAAACCTTAACTTGTCTGAGGAAGGGCATATGATGTGGAGGAGAGAATCTGTGACGCTCCGTGGCAAAAGGGGTTAAATGACGTCCACTTCAGTGCTGTGTTCTGTAGCAATGCTATTAACATCGGAAGCGACACTAGCCATGACCATGAACTATCTGGAAGACCCCGTTACGAAGCTGTCTACGGTACTTGTATGAAGATGCCATTTTGGTGATCACACAATACTTCCTCCGACCGTCTACTAGCTGGCTGAAATCCAGATAGATAGAGCTGGGGAGCACTGAAGTAAATGCGAAATCCTACTTAAATGAACTATTGTAAGCACGTCTTTCACTAAATGACTGAATATACGTGATTGCCTTCACATTCCACCTTCCTCCAATGCAGTTTCTTAACAGGACGAAACTCCCGATCCAGTGTAATTGCCAAGAAGGATTAGTGAAGTTGGTGTCAATTATCTTCTCAGTTGCACGCAACTTCGATGGTTGGTGCGGTTGGTTTGCGGGTGCTTCCTTACAGCACCAACTACGTTGCAATGGCCGACACGAGAGATTAACCAGGGGGAACGGCGGGTAAGCCGCTCTTCATTTTGGCTTCATAGGCGCTGAAGGCTCCGCCACCGTACTTCCACTAGATTTCCTGGCCATGCCAGCAGTCCCTTCAGCCCTTCTGTATGTCGGCAATACATATTTTGCCCTAGTATTATATCTCCTTTCATCTTCATGAAAGTCTCGAGGCCCTACGGTTGCCATCATCACTATTTAGCAGAACAAAAAAATGCAATACAGCTGGGGGACTCTTCCTTTGAATTGAACTTCGCATAACACACATTCATATTTATTATAACAGTAGTCGAGATCTTCTTGTTGCTCCTACATGTAATACTTTTACCGGTTAAACATATTAAATACTTTTAAGCAAATTTTAATGCACCGTCACCTAAGTAAAAGTGACTAAATCGCTAATTTCGTCTAGTAAAGTATATACTTTCCACTGGACTCGGCCACTTTATTCTTGTCCCAATCTACAGAGCACCACATGGCCATAAAGAGGAATCACAAGGTAGACATAGAGCGGGATCCAGACACGCACAAATTCATCCTACAGATTAGAAATCGGGTTTCTACTAGTATTTACAGGTAAGTTAAGATTTTAATTTGATTTATGCTAGTAATACACTTAGCTGTATAAATTAGCGGTTATCTCATGTTGCATAAAATTAGTAATGCGAAGACTGTTTCATTGATGTACATCAGAATAAAGGGTGTCTTTCGTAAATAAACGTAAACCTCCATTTTAAACACGGATCTTAGACTAACTAAACAAAAATCTATAACCCACATACTACTGCTACATTAAAAACAGGAGTTAAGAAGGTACTATTGTAATGAGTAAAGAAGTTTATTTGAAAGGTTACTCTGTCAATGAGATGCTTCTTTACAGATCTCATATTTTTGAAGGTTTTTCAATCGATAAGCAAATTCTACCCAAGTATTTCGCTAAACATCCTTCATTAGCTGTGACTTGATTTACTCCATCTGTAAAGCTGCGTTTGCAAATATATATGTCTACAGTTACCTTTTCTTCAAACAAGAAGAATAGCCTGCTGGGTGAATCACTCGAGGCTGGTTTATTGCACACGCAATGTTCCCTTCATCCTACTTTGCTGCGGTACTACAGTCGTATTCGGGAGGATTAATAAAAGAACGATAAAATATATACCTAGTCGGCGCACCGCAGCACAGCTCCTTGGACGATGGACTTGAGCCCTATCTGGGTTAAAATATAAATATTTTTATGGTAAAAGACGAATTTTCAGGCTCTATGATTACTTAAAGTGTACAAACTCCTGAATAGCCTCCCCAAAATAATGAAATTTGAATACACTGACCACTTGCTAAACCCTTCGTTTTGGTCTTACAGGTATTTAAGGCTCCGCAATTGTACCTCCGCTGGGTTGCACAACTTCGGGTCATGCCACTAGCCTCCCGGCCCTTTTCTACGCCAATAATACACATCCTGTCCTCACCCTATTGTCCTCTCTCCTCTTCAAGGAAGTCTTGGGGTACTGCACCATCTTTACGATATTTTAGATGATTACATAATCATGTATAAGAATTTACTCTCAAAGGGCGATTATCCAAATCTTTGTTTTATTTTAAGTCGCTAAGCTGTAATTGTCCGTAGGGCAGAAAATTTGTCAAGCGTCACTCTATCTGAAGCATGAATAATAATTGTTTGCTGCTTAATTTAGTTTGCAGTTAAGAACACCTTTTTCAAAGGCGCTGCTGCGAATTAAATTAAATCTGCTTAAAACTTTACTTCATTTAGCTACAGTGAGTTCTTTGCGTTTATGTGTGCAATGCAGGTAATATGACAAGTTCGCGTTTTGCTATCGTGTCTCAAGACCTAAAAATATGTTATTTTACATTTTGACAAAAAACTGCTTTCCCGAATGATGATGCCTAAAGAGCCTTTAGCCTTAAAATGAACTGAAATAGAAAAATAAATTAATAAAATTAGGTCTCTTTTGGTAAAGGATGGTTGCCTTTTTAAACTATGGGCTAGGTTGCCTATTTTTCACAATCTTGGCAATTTTAACCCCTTAGCATCATGACATTAATTTTTTGTTGAGATACACATAAAATCAGCTATTGAGATTAATGAGAATAACTTGTGATTTATGTTTAGAATTTTAGAAACCATTTGATTCCTTGCAAATAACCTAATTTTGAGCTGAGCATGAAGAGGGTGCACTACTTGGTATAATTAGCCCCCCCCCCGTCTGTTTCAGACGCAGTTACTTGTGGGTTCGCATAGTACCTATAAATACCATAATAAATTGGCAAATTTCAAACGATCTCAGAAAACTCAGCCTCTTAATTACCAAATTGAGGCTAGTTTAATGTTATTTGATTAGTTAAAATGATAGTTATAAAGTTGGGGGAATTATTTATTTCATTTTTTGTCTTTTATCGACAAAGCTTATACTGACTGCTGGAGAATAATATTTTACTGTTTAACGGTGCCATTCAAAACTGTGCTGAGATTCCAGCCCTATTGTTATGAAAACTATGGTATTTTACTTGCAGAAATACAGTAACAACTACTTGCTAGAAGAAAATCAAAAGTCAAATATTTGATTGATATGTCCTTTGATTCGTCCTTAAAAGAGTCTTAACGCAAAACTTCAACCCACATTTAATTTTGGAACATTTTGAGTACAATGAAACAGTTTTAGCCAAAGGCATTTTGTGGGAATTTATGCCTGCATATTAACTTAGTCCGTTTTCTTGGAATCTTCACTTCAGCGTAATTCCACTCCCTATGTGTCTATAAAACAGACTTACCGCATTTCAGTAACAATCTCAGAGCTTCAGTTTCCGATTGTCAATGCTGCTGATACTTGAAGTTCTATTGAAACTGCAGTTAAACTTTAATGTTGTGAGGTAGGATTTTTACGTTACTCGGTATAGTTTTGTCGTTTTTCTCCTATGAAAGACCCCATTAAGTTTAGTAAAGTAGCATTTTGATTTGGGTTTCATGTGATTTACCATCAAAATTGGGACACAAAACTGGTATAATCAACCCTAAACTTTATAAAATCGAGTTTTCCTTGCAAACTACTGCCTAAGTAAGCGTTTACATAACTTTGATTGGTGTCTTTTAGGGAGTTCATATGGTGCCCATTCCTTTCGCACTTATCTACCAGATCCATTTTAGTGGTTACCTTAGCATTTGGCTTAAATAAAACAGCTAAAACTACTGAGATTGCTAGATTGTAAAGTATATTGTTAAGGTTTTAGTGCTCAAAAACGGTTGTTTGCATGCCACATTTTTGGGTGATCTAATACCCTAAATAGTCCATTGAAATCATATTCACTTTAGGCATTTAAACAAGATTATCATAATTAGGTATGCTATGTAAATATTTGAGCATTTAAATGCGACACTCTTGTATTCAGTAGAGCACTTGCTTCATTTATATTTTATTAATTAGTATTTTAATTGATTACACTACAGGAATTAAATCTAGTAGTTATGAATAGCTGCAAGATAGTTTATTTATTTTTCACGAGGAAATACATTACGTATGCAAAGAGCTACGATGGGCGGCCCACTTAGACTCCTGCAAATTACAGTGCGGAGTAGATTTCGTGCGCTTGTCAGCAAACTCCTCTACTCCTGGAGCGGAGTCATGACCACTTAGAGGATTATCCTAAACTGACCAATGGGAGGGCAAGAAGAGGTGGAGTTCTTCAGACGTATATAATTCATTTATCAACGCTTCCGTGTCTGCATCGCCGCCTGCATTTAATCGGAATAGTTATACCTTTTTCGCGTACAAATGTCGGAGGAATAACAAATTGTTCATCAATCATGTATGATTTTCCCACATCTTAACGAATCTGTGAGCTTTGGATGCAATTTCCTTCAAGATGTAGGCTGATCTATTAAAGTTAAAGAATGTTCATTGAAATCTCTATTCTGATATTATTTCATCTTATTATGTGCATAATCAGGATAATGTAGTATATGTCCCTCATTTAGAGTTTTTAAAACTGTAATTTTTATTTTGCTAAACGCCTAAAAGCTATGTTATCATAAAGTACTGCCCCAAAGTAAACCGGTGTTGTTTTATGAATCCTTTTACCTGTTAATTACCCCGTACAATAATGGCTTACGGGTAAAGGTGTATCAAAGGGCGCGATTTATGACTACTGTAGATTATGCACTGAATGTTTAATCCGTGTTTAGTTGAAGTTCTCCAAAAAATTTTCAAAAAGACAGTTTTATTCTAATTTTTTAAGTTATCCAAGTAATTCTCATAAGTCCTCATTGTGTATTTTCCTGAAATATGGCATACTTCCACTCAACCACCAGAAAATACTATGTCTCGATCATAATGAGGAGTGAGCGCATTGAGCCATTCCATTGTTGGTGGCATGGACGCCTATTCATAAGGTTTCCTATGCCCTGAATTACTGCAAAAAGGCACTTATCAACTGTACTTATCTATAACTACCGTCTTTCATTTTACCCATCAAAATAAAATGCCAGTGTTTGTGCCTTCATCTATAATGCTCTTCTGGCAATCTAAGCGCCCAAAAAGACTGTAAAAATAGTACATTAACCTCTATTCATAAGGATAATAAATTTTTTGATTGAGTGACTATTATGGTTGCTTTTTGGGTGGATAAAAGTGAAGTAGTGAAGCATTTTCCCATAAATTACTTAAAATGGTTAGATTTATATTTCAAAAATCAAAGGAAATGATTGGCATTTGCTGAGACAACACGACCGAGATTTCAAAGAAATTTTTGATATGCTAATTGGTTCTACTAACTTCCGGGCAGAATATCAATATTTTACAAAGGCATATTAAAGTAATTCCCATTTTGTATGGGATTGTAAAGCATACCTGCAATGTTTTATGCCTGCCTGCAACAAAATTTTCCATACCTTTATTACGACGTCGGAGACATTAAAATATCATTCATCCAATTTCCTATGTTTTGATTTCATTCATTTCTTCGTTTCTTTGCTTGAATTGCAGACGACCATACATTTTAAGTAAAATGGCTTTGGAACACCGGTAAAATTCACTTAAAAATTGGCTTGCCACGGAAATGTGAAGTAGTGTAAATTTGTGACCGTGCTGTCTGCTTCATTTCCAGACTTTACATTACTAAAGAAGTAAGTCATTTTGCCGCAAAGTTTTGCCGATTTTGTATAGCTACCTAAATGTTAAATAAAAGTTTGGTGAATTCAAAACAAACTAGAGTGTGCTGAAACAGCAAATCTATTTGCGAATTTAGTTAAGGAAGTAGTCGTTTGAGTAGAATTGCTTCAATTTGCGTACAAATTTTACCACGAAAATGATATGCGCAAGCGTATAGCTAGATGGCATACGTGGTGGCGCTTAGAATGCGTAAAACTGGCGATCAAAATGTCACTTAAACATGCTGATCATTGCCATTTTACATTTATGGGGATTCGTTCTAGTCAAAGTTGTAAGAATTAGTGCATAACGGAGGACCCTCGACGGATATCTAAATTGAGACTACATTTAAGGACTGTTTATTGCTTATGTCAGAAATTGGTTCAAAGGAAATTTCGAGCTTGTTTTTCAAGTCCCCCGTTGTCCCTGAGTAAAATAAACAATGTCATATTCCACAATAATGCATATGGCGTTACAACTGCCAGGGGAGATTAGACGGGTACACACAGGAGATGACACCTTATTGACCTAGGTCGGCGAATATCATGTTTCGACGTTTCAGGTGTATGAAAAATGATGTTTAGCATTCAATCCTCATAGAGCAGATACGTTTCCTGCCTATTCGATCGCCGTCTTAACTAAATCTTGAAATACTCGCCTCCTAGAGATGAGAGTTAAAAATGTCTCCTTTTAAAAGCATTTGCTTCTCTGTGACACACTTATTTGACGCATTTACATAACACCTTCCACACTTTGCAATAAACATCGAATTTATTACCATCTCTAGGAAACTTTCCTTTTTTAATCTACGCTGCAAATTAAGCTAAAGCAATGTTTGAAACTGCAATGCCACCATGTCAATTATAAGTAAACCTAAATGCCCTATTTTATTGAGATGTGGAAATGCTGGAAAACGTTTTATCCGCAATTGCGACTTAAAACAGCTCGAACAAATGCATCGAGATAAACCGAATTCGAAACATGGAAGTGGACTATTTTGCTTTAAGCTAAATGGCCTGTTGCCTAGAGACCATAACTCCTGTTTACGTGGGCGCCAGATTGTGGTTTCGCAAACATCAGGCGTTTCATCCTCTTCTTAAAGCGAACGTAACACTTCTAACGTAGGCCACTGTTATACCACGCATGAAGTAGTTACTAAAGCGTATTTTACAATATGGAAGTGTGGGTTAAAGACCTATCAGTGTGTTTAAAAGTGCATTAGGTAGGGTATTTTTCGAAAGTTATATTATAGCTAAATTGCGCAGTTCGGCTAGGTCTTTAGTAAAGATTACACTATTTATGTATCCCAGTAAAATTGCTCACTCCTCGAAGGACCATTTAACTAAACCGTGTGGTTGGAATTGTATCTAGGTTTCTACAGTATTTCCGATTATTCAGTTTTAGCTGTACCTCACTATGTGAAGTTAACAGCTTTTAGAAATGTACTTTCAAAAACTGTACTTTGGCATTTGTATTTTTCTACCTTATGTATTGCCAAATTTTTAAGGTGACCAGGTGTAAGTTTACCTTACTCCTTGATGGACCGACTGGTTATTGGTCGAGGGACATCTAGCCTCAATAATCGAAGCCGCAGAGACTGACGAGGGAAAAACCACCGAAATCCCTTTCACTATTTCACAGCTACCTCAGTCAATTCCTGCATAACGATCAGTAGGTGAAAAGGGACCCGAATCAAGGGAGTTGAAATCGTCTTCACAAATTTTTTGGGAAGGTAGTGGAAATCAAGTCAGGCATAATATGATGCATCACTCATCAAGAAGACGAGATTAAAACAGAGTCATGTGACTCCAAACCATGTATTAAATAAGTTTAAATCAAGCCTCTAATAAATAAAATCAAAGAAAAAAAACAGTTCGAGTGGGGTGGTAGATGGGCGCAAGTGCCAAGACAACCCACCATTGCCGTTTGACGCCTGAACAGTTGTGATCAGACTCTCCAACTGTTGCATCAACGCAGCGAACACACTCGTCATCAGGCCCGCGCAGCAGTTCAAGTAGTCCTGCAAGTCTGCAGTCGCCTGTCAGTACAGTAATGAGGTGAAAAAATAAGTTTAAAGCAACAGCAGGAAACAGAACATGCCCTCGGCTTATAACAAAAGACTGAGTTGAGTCAGGGAATCAGACGGAGAGGAAACTGGAGGAGTGGAGGGGCGGGGAAGGAAAGTGGTAGATGCCTAGGTGAAATTTCTACTCACTTTGATACTGGACTTTGTGACACTTTTCCATGAAATGGCTGTTTAAAACGTCTATTGGAAAGCAAATGCCACCTCGTTTGCCTAATGGTATTTAATTGCATGACCTCTGTTGTCAAGAGAGGATAGAACAGTGAAGTTGTTAATATTAGTTCATGGGCTGATTTTTTTTGTTGTTGGGTGAAGAAGAAGCAATACCAATTCTACTTCACCAAATTATCCTTTACGCCTTTCAGCGTTACTCTGTATATTAATTTATTTAACCCTGCTACTCCTTTAGGAGTAGATACTATGTATGTAGATTCTAAGGCCAACGCATTTGCCTCACTATCTTGCACTGCCTTTTATTCGGTTTTAGCTTTTAGTATTTTTACAATGAAGATAGGAGTGCTAAAAGAAAATTCACTGGCCATTGAAGCTTTTTTCGAGAGAACTTGAAAATGTGTAATCATCAAATCGTCCACACCCTTAAGACATTTTTCGTGGTGTACACACCACATTTTCCCAAAACCAGGTTAAGTGTCAATTTTTTATTTCAGGAAAAAATAATCAATTACTAAAGGAAAGCTATTTCTGTCTGTTTTTTTTGGGCATCAGAACACTGGTATAAGATCGCAGTCACTGCTACCAAGCATTCCAAACAAGCATTCAAATGTGCCATTCCAAGATATACGTTTTCTGCTCTAAATGCAATTGCTTTTATTATCTACGTTTTTTGAGTCCATAAATTAAATTAAAATTTGCATTTACAGTTTCACGGGTATTTTGAACAAATAAAATGCATGATTCGCGCATTGGTTCTCCAACACCTGTCACAAGGGTCACTTACGTTTCAGAGATTTTAACTCGAAAAATTCCTTTAATCAAAGTCTGCTGAGTTACGGTAAAAGTTTTGTCAGCATTCAGTATGCATATGATACCATACTTCTTCAGCACTTAGGCATTCCAGATATCTTGAATCTGCGAATTCCTATTGGAGGTCAGCGAATAACTCAAAGAATTTTATGGGACATTTTTTGCGCATCAGCATGGTACTTTATCTTCGTGTTATCAACAGAGTAATTATATCAGTCAAATTGCTTTACAGTGGTCTAAAATCTGCTCTTTAACGTCTTTTAAATAACCTTAGTGGAAGTTTATTAAGATTCTCTACCAATTGCAAGCTGCTTTTGGTTTAATATAGGAAGTATCCTAAAAATTAAAAATACTGTGCAATAGTTATCGTAAATAAGGGCTTCTTTTGCAAATATAGTGCACTAAAATGAAACGTGCACACAGGGTCTGGATTTAGAATGATGAAATACAGTAGTGAACTCAAGCATTCTGATCGTTTCCCTTGATGATGATGCAGCCTCAGTTTTCGCATGTTTGACCTTAGATGAACTATTAACTTTATAAATTATTCATAAAAGTGAATGCTTTGATTATTCTGTATTCGAAAAACGAATGCCTTATGGTTATTTAATTTGTCACTTTTCCTTTATATGCTGATGTCGACTTTTAACGTAGATCACTAATGGAGGCGTAGGACAAATCCATAGGGGCTACACGTTATTCTGCTTAAAATAGATGTTCTGAAGCATAAACAAGAACTTACTTTGGTTTAATTATATTTTGATCCTTTTTTGGTCTTCTAGAAGAATGAAGTCCACGTAGTTTTTTTTCATGCACTGGTAGACAGTGATTTGGCTTGCATTCATGTTATAACTTATCTGGAGAATTATTGGGAACTAATGGAGCTTTTAATCACCTTGTCGCCCACCCGTTAGCGCGGAAAACTTTAGGTTTTCTTGTTACTGGAACAACATAATTGGCTGATTAACTCTCGGTTTTGATAGAGGGGTCACTTTGAAACTCCGTTATTGTACCTTCACCGTCTAAGCTGGCCATGTCAGTAGCCCCAATCTCTTCTGTATTTCGAAAACACATATATTCTGCCCGAGTATTATGTCTTCTTTCGTCTGCAGGGAAGTCTAAGGGCGCCACATTATGATAGTTTACGCCATGTACAAACGATTGTCTGACTTGTTTTGTTCTAACCTATTTCGACCTACGCAATTCCCGTTGACAACCGAGAAAGGCTAACACCCCACGTTGCACAATGTCAGAAGAAATTGCTTAGGCTCGATGTGTTTTGTGAGTCCAATTACGTCTTTTATTTGAATGTCGTTAATATTGGCAATCAGTCCATTTTTTACTTAATTGAAAAGTAACGTAAAAATGGCAGAATTCCCCCACTTTGAATTACACTATTGTCTCTTATCATAGTATTGCAAATGAATTTCGTAGTCACTTTACTACTATGCATGTAATTTAAGTCCAATGGTAAATTTGCATGTAAATGTGATGTATTACTTTGACAAGTGTTTCAGATCATACCAGCAAACATATGTTCAAACAATTGGTGCAAAATTAATACTGTCTGCTAAACGCTTCGGATGGATTAATACAGTGAGTTATGCCAAATCCATCCAAATATATGGGCTTACATTTCCCTCGCAAAATAGGTAGCACTTTATAAACTTTACAAGAACGCAGCCAATCCAACTAGAATAAACAGAAATTAAACCAAGAAGGCGACAGAGGTGATACTCGAAGGTTGATTGAACAATATTTTGCAAGGGACCATATTGGCGCACAAGCAAAAATTATTTTAATTCAGCTCCTCTAAATTATTATCGCTAAAGAAGTCTTAAACAACCGGTCCATAAATACACGTTTTCTTCTTTTTACCGTCCCATTCTTATTAGTATTAAGCGGAACTCCTCAAAATTGCCATCTAAGCCGAAGTGGTCACCGGTGTGAGTGATTGCAAGGCGTGGCATAATGCTGCAGCTTCCTATTTCATATGAGCATAAGTAGTGTACAGGCTTATTTTCGAAGCATCGCTACTTCAAAAAAAATTTTACGGGTAATTCAAAAGGCAATATGTAGTTTGAGCTCAACAGAAATCATTGACGGTGATGCCTTATATTATGCGGCACTTTGATTATTTATCCAACCCTTCGATTTGGTTTCGCCGGCACTGAAGGCGCCGCCTTTGTGCTTCCGCTAGGGGGGGGATCTGGGCCATACCAGTAGACTTCATCCCTTCCGTACGTCGGCAGTACGCATTCTGGCCTAGTATTACGTTTCCATTCCCCGTCAGAAAAGTTGCGAGCGCCTCGACTAACAGTGTTTAATAAAAAAAAACTAAAAAATGCCTAGGTCGAAGCATTTTAAGTCCACACAGTGAATTAAAAGTGGGAAAGTGTGAATTTTCAATAGCCTCAGCGTTCACTAGACAGACCATTTCATAAATTCCCCTTACAAATTCTGCATTTCTACTAACTATGTCAAAGAAGCAATACCACCGTCTTCAAATAATTTACTAAAAAAAATAGTGTTGAGGACTGTATCGCCCTTAGCCACTCCTGAATACAAAAGAAGTCGTGATACTTGGGAAGAAAATATTGACGACGTACAGGAGGGCTGAGAGGTTACTGACATGGTCCAAAGCCCATAACGTTAGACGAAAGTAAAAATGCCGTGCTCTTCAGTACCCGCTTAAAGAGAACGAAGAGCTGCACTAGTAATCATAGCGCTACAAAACTGTTTGACTAAAATTGATCAAAAGTTTTCAAGTTTCGCAAGCAGTTTAATAGATCACTACTTCCTATAATCTACGATCGAATTTGTGAACGCACTTCCAAAATGCAATCACTCCTAAATTCATGGTTTTTGTCATTTTCTGCTTTCACCGGAGAAAATAGCTCGTGCTTTAACAAAGAGTATTTTTAACTTTTAAGATATTTATGTCATTTGCGCACTTGATCGTGCGAATTCAATTTGCATTTATCCGAGTATTGAATTCAAAGTTTGCACCACTTAAACACACAGAGGGAATTTTCCACACTCATTGAATCCCATTTCCATTTTTTTCTGCGCTTCAATCTATTTAACGAATCCATTCTATGCTTCCAAAGTCGTAAAATTGGGAAGTAGATGATGCAGTCAACAGATGACTTAGTGTTTTATCGGCTAAAGTAACTTGGTCAAGATAAGCTCAGCATAGTTGAACCTACTTTGAAAACGTTTCATTGTTCCTCACGTGTAAGTGCATTCTTTATTGAAGTGGTAGGTCCTGAAGGTACCACTGGACTACCTGATACCCAGTCGATTTTCGTATTAGGATTTTTAGACTATACCTTAGCATTTCGAGACTTCCTTAAAGGCGAAAGAAGACATAATGCCAGGGCAGAATATGTATTGTTGACCTACACAAGGGCTTGGGGGCTACTGACATGGCCTGAGGTTAGGCCCCTTGGCCAAGGTGCAATGGCGGATCTCTGACTAATCCATTACTAAAACCACGGGTTGGACAAATAATTAGAGTAATACCATAGTTGGGTATTATAATAGAACATGTTTGAATGACTGGATACTTGTGATACAACGGTAGTGGCAAATGAGCTCGCAGTGGCATTTTAGACAAGAGCGATGTTTCTTCCAATTACTGAACCGGATTTCGACCTCTTTCACTCAAATTAGGAAAAAAGTCTTTTGGGTTGCTTAGTTCAAAATAAATTTGTGAAATTTCCTGAGTATATTGAATATAGAAAGGTTGTGACACTAATTTGTTTTCCTTAAAATGATTTAGTCATCGGCTGAATCCGAATACTTGCCTTAAATCCTTTCACCTGTTCTGCTTTGCTTTTCAGCATGAACAAAATGGATATTCACCTTTCTTTAAGGAAATGTTTGAACTAGCAACGCAATTTGCAGGGTAAGTTTAAAATTTTAGAACACACATGTCTATTGTTGCCTTTACAATTTAGTTGCCACAACAGTACCTTTCAAAATCATTCTAATGCACAGCCTTCGGAGAACATCATTCTCTTCCTCACTTACGCCCAGCCTGTCGTTGCTGTAGTCGGAATTGTAGGTATGCATATTTAAGTGAAACACCATAACTCTCTAACCCACTTTTCATCTACTTTGAAAATATGGTTTGTGCAAATGGATGCCATATAGTGGTGCTGCTTTATTTCAGGCAACATATTTGTAATAACGCTGTTAAACGCAGCCTCTAAGGAGACGGCTTGCATCTTATACCTGCGGTGTTTGGCTGTGTTTGATTGTATTTCAATCACAGCTTTCCAATGCTCTTTCTACCCTTTAATGGTTCTCAAAGTGTACCTCATGACTAGATATGGATCAACATTCAGTGCAATTGACATTTATTTCTCAAAACCTGGAGTTTGCCAAGTGAGTGGTATCCTCTATCAACGATCTTATTTCGGATCGATGCTCAGTGGAATTTTACTTCATTTAATCAGTAACAAAAGTCTAAATTTTGTCCATTAAATCAAACAAAAATAAGTTCATTTTTAAACACAAACGTAGACATTTAAAATAAGCGAGCCCAAAGCTTAGGGCTTACTGATTTTAGAGCTGTATTTTGTGCCACTCCAAGTAGCATAAATAATATGGAGCATTGTAGCACCCCAAGGCTTCTCCAAAGACGAAAGAAGACATAGTGTTTAGGCAGAATATTTATATTTAACATACAGAAGGAATTGGGTTACAGGCAAGGCCTGGAAGTCACACTACAATGGCGGAGACTCGGAGTGGTCCCTTTACCAAAACCTAGAGTTAAACAACCAAATTATTACATATCCCCTCTTTCCCTTTGAGCGCCGCCCCCGGCGCTCCTTTTAGTCAACA